GTACACAACACCAACACAGAAAAAAATTCATATTACTAGAACACATTGGTAATGAAGGAACTAGATACTGTTCCGAAATATCACTTACTCGAACCGTCCTGACCGCGTAGCTCAGTTGGAAGAGCATTGGGCTAGTATTCCAAAGGTCGTAGGTTCGAATCCCACCATGGCCGGGCATATTTTTCAGGCTCGCCCGGTGTGGATATGCACTCAGAGTAACATCGCAAACATGTTATTCACCTGAGTACACAACACCAACACAGAAAAAAATTCATATTACTAGAACACATTGGTATTGAAGGAACTAGATACTGTTCCGAAATATCACTTACTCGAACCGTCCTGACCGCGTAGCTCAGTTGGAAGAACATTGGGCTAGTATTCCAAAGGTCGTAGGTTCGAATCCCACCGTGGTCGGGCATATTTTTCAAGCTCGCCCGGTGTGGATATGCACTCAGAGTAACATAGCAAACATAGCAACAATTATTTTGCCGTAATCTATACTAACCGTTCTATCTAATCTATATATTCTCACAATCTAATACAGTACACATGACACCAAATGTTCCTCCCAATTCTTATGCATCACTTGAAAGTGCCTTGAAAACACAGATCATCTCGTTCCCATGTTATCAGGTATTTTATGTTGTGACGTCACTAGTTGTGCTTAAGATGGTCTTCCACTCTGGTCATCATATTTCAATCAATAACGCTGGGTGGTGAATATAGGTGCGGTGGTGAATATAAACTATTGAAATAAATAAAACTTTCGTTCCAAAGTGTTTACAGCAGGCATGACTAAAATAAGAAGAGAGAGACCTGGTGTATTACTGTGACGACCACATAAAGTAACATTTCAAAATGTTTACTAAGGTATACTTATTAACAGTACCAATTTCCATTTACTGAATTTCGTCGAATCACTTCTGAGATATTAGACTTTTTTCTCTTTGTTGCCATTGTAAGCACAACCAGTGCCATGTGCACTTTAATCATTATTTAGTATTTTAGTATTTGGTCTATTACGAACTGTATAATGCGCTCTCTATACTTCGCATAAGACGGGCTATGTTGCAATCTTGTTTATGTAAGTTTGTACATAAGTTTTGATGTTCTGTATTTGTTTTGCGTCAGGTCGCAAACGCATTTGGCTCACGCTGTAGTGGTGTTCCTGACCAAGCATGCCTATGTTTTACCTTAATTTGTTAATTGTCGGCTGATTCGAGCTTTCACCAAATAAACTTCTGTGCAAATTAGTGCTCGTCCCCATGACAGCATGTACATACTAATACATACTATACATGATTTTCCTTTTCACGCGGTCCTCCCATGCGAGTTTTCAACCGATGATAGAATGAGCGAAATTAATAAAATGTGTCAAAATCTAATCTTACCAGTAACGGCTAAGTAAGCAGAAGCTGAATCATTTCCAAGTTTATTCCATGCAACGCATTCATATGTTCCTCCATCACTCAACGTCACTGCATATATGAAATGCATCTTGCCAGTACTGACCACGGTACCATCATGGGTTATGGTATAATTTGGTTCAGGACGACCTTCAGAGTTACACGTTATGGTAACTCGTTTACCATCTTTACCTTGTTGTTCAGTCACAATCACGGTTATTCGAGGTTTGACTGTGAAAAACAAAACTTCTCGTTACTAATGAACATAGGAAAATCGTTTTTCTGTGTAATAATATTAATCATTAGCAAAAATACATACACTCAAGGTATATTTACCAGCTGCATGGTTCGTACTGGAAATGTATTTTGGTGTGGTACAAGTCTATAAATTAAATCTAGTGATGCACCCAATCAGTGGCGTAGCGCCATAGATATCTTATATACACTAGATTGCCCATCTGTTTTACTAAAATTGAAGCAAAGAATATTCCAGCGGTTACCCCCATTTGAATAGATGGCGGCCATGTTGGTAGTTCCCACTCGCTAATAAACGCTTAAAAACAACAATAACTTTCATCATTTGAATAGTTTAAAAATGTATTTGGAATAGGTTTAACTTAATGTTTAAGTTCCCTGTTTAAGAAATAGAAAACGTACGAATCTTCTCATTTCATAGGAATATCTTGAGTCTGCAATCACGGCTTCAATTTTTTAATTGCAGAATAATTAGATGCACTATCTAGTGTATTAACATATCTATGCGTAGCGCTCATTGGTTAGGGGCCCCATCAGCCACGGCCTATCGCCCAGAAAATTAAAACACGTAAAGAATGCAGGGTAACAATCAATGGGAAAATGCAAAACTAATAATGCTAAATAATAAAGTCTCCATCGACAACGGTAGCTGGA